GAAGGAAGGAAACCAGATGCCATCAGCAGGACGTGGTACTTTGTGGTGTGTGAAGGATTTCAACAAGCATGGGGCCAAGAGATGCAGCCTCTCTGAGTTTCAGTTTCTTCATCAGCTGGGGGTGGTGCGGGACAAGATATTTCAGACCCCTCTGGCTTTCCCCACCTTCTGGTCCATAGTGTTGGGTTCAATAAATATGTACTGATTCACTGTGCCATTGTTTGTTGACTGCTGGGCTCACCTGGGCTCCGGTTGCCTGACTGCCCTTCCCCAGGAACTTCTTTCCCAGGATCTAAGGGAAAACGTTGTCCATCACTCCTCCTGCTTGCCTGCTGGGCTCCCACCCTCCCATCCAGTCATTTCCCTCAGACCCTGGTTCCCACAGGCCACATGGGCACCCCTGGGGGAAGCCCATGCAAGTCTGGCTTGGGCTGAGCTCAGATATGTTCCCTGTCCAGTGCCTGGGGCCCATGTCTGACATTTGGCACTCAGGCTGATTTGGATCAGAAGGGCTTCTTTGCAGGTAGCCCTGAACAGAGGGGCAGAGAGAGACAGCCAGAGAGCACACAGCCTCCCTCAAGGTACCTTCACATCTCACCCAGACACTTGCTGAGGTGGGAAGCCGCATGAAAAAGACCTGCAGGACCCCCAGGCAGGGCCATTAGTCTTGTGCCAGCATGATCTGTTTCCCTGGCCCGGCAGCATTATCTCACCTTTTGCCTCTGAAACGGTTTACTTCTAGGAAAGTGGAACTTACTGCTAAGATACTATTGATTCCCTTAGCTAACTCCTGGTTGGTTCATTTGTAATGCTTCATTTGCACGGAGTTCACATCTGATTTGTCCACTTCTACCACTCCTGATTGGTCCATTACTACCACTCCTGATTGGTCCATTTCTATCACTCCAGATTGGTCCATTTCTACAAAGCTCGTTCCTAATTAGTCAACTTTGTTACACCTTATTTGCATATGATCTTGCAACGTGTAGACTGGCATCCTATTAAATCCTCTGTAAATCTACAGACGGGGTCCAGAGCTTGGAGTGTTAACTGCTCTGGGCCCACTGGCATAAAAAACCTGAGTTCTCTGGCACTCTGAGTGCTGCTTGGTCTCTCACCTGGATCCAGGTTGCTGTCACAATTGAGCTGCAACACACTTTGCTGCAGCGTTTCTGGAGGCCCCAGTGAGATTCCGACCATGCTGGCCCCTTGAGCCGCTGGGGCAGTCGAGCAACCCCCTGGAGGTTGGGAACTCTGAAAGCCAACGAGGAGGTGCGCCACCCGCCAATATTCTGGGTCCCCCTTCACGGAGGTGATTCAGTCCTCTGGGTGGCTGTGCCCTAACCAGACTCAGTGGAGGGACAGACCAACTCATGAAGCAACACGGCCGGACAAGGTAGGAGCCCTGGGAATTGTCCATATATAGGTTAGGGCGTTCAGGTTGTGTCCAAGTGGGCAGAAGAGGAGACTGATCACTTCTTTCAGGCTCCTTGTCTAATGGTATTCCAGACGGGGAGGCCAGGTTATGCTCCCCGTCTGACGGTATTCCGGATGGGGAGATCAGGTCCGATTAGGATACGGATACCCCAACGATTGGGAGGGAAATATGCAAGTAATGTGTGTGTGTGTGTGTGTGTGTGTGTCGTCTGAAAAGCATGTGATCAGGCTCGCGTTTGTAGCTCCAGGGCATTCTGCTCTGGAGTTTGGGTGAGTCCCAACCTGCAGTTCCGTGGTGACCTCATACGGCTCAGGGCGGTATCAGCCGCTCGGGGTACTGATCGGATTTAGTGATTTATACTGACCCGCCAAAGCTAAGAGGCACCTTCACCTCCACGAGGGGAGCGGCCAGGCTGACGCAGTGAAAACCCTCCCTTTGTCTCGTTTGCGACACTGGCACAGGGTGGCTACACAGGGAGGGAAAGGGACATAGAACAGCCTGTGAGTAAACCACCCCTATGCCCTTGGGGACTACGATGAGACTACATTAAAAGGTTTCAAATGCGACCTTGTCACCAGTTCCCCAGAATTTCCTGTCGTGAGTAATAAACCAGCCTCAATACTACCCCTCTGTCTCAAATTAAGACCACAAGACCTGAGCCAGAGGGCGCTAACCCAGGACTGGCTGGAATCCTCTACTGAGGCCCCCCTCTTTGGCCCATTTATTCTGACACCGGCCGGCCATCCTGGCCTCATATTTTGTCAATTTAGGCTATAGAAGAGACTTTCTGCAGGGACCCCAAGGGCTTATTCAGGCCTGGGGGAGTCTCAGGGACGCCTCCTACCATGAAACCCTAACTCACTGGCAGCACTTGCAGCCAAGCAGATAGATATTAGGCCCCGTGAGGCAGTGGGGATTTTTGAGAACTGCACTGTTATGAGGACTGGAAAAAAACAGAGATACTGGGGTCACAGTCCCCAGTGCCAGGAGCAGACCCACACCTATAGGTCATAAAATCTGTCAACAAATAATAATGGGAGCCTCAGAATCAAAGCCCCCAGTTCTGGGTAAAAATTAAAAATTTTAGAAATGGTTTCTCAGAAAACTATGGGATTAAATTGTCACCAGGAAAATTGCAAACGTTGTGCGAGTTAGAGTGGCCCACCTTTGGAGTGGGGTGGCCCCCGGATGCATGCTAGACCTGTCAGCTGTTGGGGCCAAATACCGGATAATCACCACGTCCCCCAGAGCACCCCAACCAATTCCTATATATTGACTCTTGGCCAATGATCACCAAACCTTGCCTCCACGGGTCCGGGTCTACACAAATAGTCAGGGACAATATAAGATCTTCGTGGTCCTGACATGAAAGGTAAAAAAGAAAGATGCAATGAGGCCAGTCCTTCAGGGGAACCTGGAAGAACTGCCAATGCTACCCCTGCCGTGTGTTCCTCCTGCTTCTGCGGTTCCGCCACAGCTGCCTCTACTGGATGGTCCACCGCCACCTGTACCGCCACGGCGGCCCCGGGCTCTGTGCTGGGAGCCCAAGGGGAGGAAACTCCATCTGGCCCTACAGGCTGCCCAGCCAGTGGCCACCCTCTGGATGCCTCTCCGGGAGACCCAAGGGCCCCAGCAAGTTAACCATGATGGCTCCGTACAGCCTAGTTGCTCCATCCTGTAGTACTAGCCTTTCAGTACAACGGAGCTCCTGAACTATAATCAGAAAATCCCCAGGCCATGAAATACCTCCTGGAGTCCATCTTCCAGACCCACCGGCCGACTTGGGATGACATTCAACAGCTGTTCCTGACACTCTTCAATACTGAAGAAAGAAAGCGGATCATAACAGAAACTAGAAAGTGGCTACAAGAGCAGGCCCCAGAGGGAACCCTGGATGCGGAGGAATGGGCCTGGAACGCAGCCCCAGATGCAAGACCAGAATGGAAATCTAACTTCCATGCTGAATGGGAGGCTCTGCGGGCATATCGGAGAGCCCTCTTACGTGGGTTGCGAGCCGGGGCAAAGAAACCAGCCAACGTGTCTAAGGCCACCATGATCAGAAAGCCAGATGAGTCCCCCATGGACTTCTATGAGAGACAATTTGGGAGCCCAGAGAGAGGTCAACCATTCACTGT